TGACAAAATTAACTGTTGGAGTTTTACTAAAAAAAAAAAAAAAAAGGATGAATTTGAGCTATTCAATCGAGCAATTCAATTCATTTGTAATTTTTGGCAATTGAAGTGTCAGTTGTTGACGAATTCAATTGTTAATTAAGCCAAGTAAAGTCTCAGATTAAAATTTCCTTTCTGCTCTTTAATTTGTATTACAGAAAGTCATATCGGTGATTTATTAAATTCTTACGATTATGATCTTGAATCTACGAATTTATCAAGCGATTCGCATATTTTATATATTGAAATATAATATACAACTGTAGCAATGTGACGTCATGTAACTTTTAGACGATATCGAAAACTATGTTACAAGCATATTAGTATAAAATTATCCTCCGTCCAAAGATTGATCAAGTAACTAAATAAACCATTTCGTGACACTAATAAATAATAGTTTATGGAGTAAACTTACCGAGTTCCTTTCCAGCTTCGAGGATAGAATAACTCAAGGGCGGGTGATAAGGGAACTGTGTGACCGTGAGTGGTCCACCGACACCGTGATAACCGTAATCCATGATGTTTGCTTGAAGATTATCCTCGCTCCTGATGAAATACGGAAGGACATCTTGATAAGACCATCCTATGTTTCCAAGCCTCGCCCAGTCATCGTAATCCTTTCTTGAGCCCCTCATATACGTCATGCCATTCATAACGCTGGTTCCACCCAACACCTGAAGAACATTTTAATCACTCACTCGTTTATTGCCCGTTTACTGTTTGTATACTGTCGGACAAAAGAGAGATCAAAACAGGGACACGACAGGTGTCAACAGTCTATTATATTCTTTATCGCTAGTAAAAATGGTAACAATTTGTTCTGAAGTATATTTCACGTTCATTGTTTTTGTTAAATATAATTTTTAGAATTGTGGTATATTATCTTGACATCCCTTAAACATTTTATTACACATTATTGTATATATCGTACGATGAAATCAGTCGCGCAATTCGCAAACTGCCATTTTCAAATTATCTCTGTGAGA